ACTTTATTTTCTGGTGCTTTCACTTCCAGAGACAGTTGTAAGCACTGTGTAACTGCCTCGAGGGTGCTTGACCATTTTAACACAACGTGATGCGATCATCCCCCTTGCGCGGAGTGAGGGTTCTCGACCCCGCACAACATGATCTACTCGACCACCATTATGGTTTCCGCCAAAAAAAAACAGAGGTAAAAAAAAACACGGTAACCTGGTTGCCGAGTTCAGGAAGTGAATTGGCTTGTTTTGCAACGTCGTTGCCAAGCGACGAAAACCCAACCCAGATGGCAACGACCGAGGGGGGCGGCTTGTTTTACATCGGTGTTGCCAAGCGACGACAACCCAACCCCGATGGTAAACACCGCGGGGGGGAGGGGGGGGAACGAATTCTGCCACGGACGCGCTGAAAATGGAGACGATTGTGCGCGCTCAGTCGTTTGCACTGTCCTGGAAAGGGGACCTTTTTGTGGAGTGAATAGTACTACAATATCGAGTATCGAAACGGAATGTTTTGCTCGTGCTTCGGATTGCTTATTTGCCACTGCAAACCTACAGCACACCGAACGTGGCAAAGGGTATTGATTCCCTTACACGTGGCGACGTTTTGTTGTTGTTGTCGCAGGACGGTGCCCTGTCGGATGAAGTGCGCTTGGGGCTGACGGGATCGTTTTTGCCGGGCGTGTCGCTGCTGTTCGGTGCGCTCTTCTCCTACACAATCTCCTTGCTGGTGAGAGTTGTCACATCCGAGGTTTATGGGATCATATTGTTGTCGTTGTCGTCGTCGTTGTTGTAGATCGATACAGCAGCACTGTAGACAACATTGACCAGCACCTTCTCTCCGTATTGGCGTGTCTGGTCGATGAGGTGTTGCCGACAGCAGAGTCCGTGTTGGTGTGGGAGTTTTCTTTGCTGCTGTGATGAGATCTGGTAATTCAAATGACTGGAAATGCTTGATTTCTATGGCGACGGGGACCATGATTGCCGCCTGTTTTGAGCCCTAAAGCCTACGCCTATATATACGTTGTGTTGGGACGCTGTAGGTGCATTTCTTCAAGTATGGGGAATACCAGGTATATACTACCAGTACGATATGCTGCCAGTACGTGGGAGCGACTCGTGCTCCACTGAACACGCACCAACTCTAGCTCAGAGCTCGTGGCTAGCACCTCAGAGACACAAGCGTCCGAACCATCAATAGAGTGCAGTCGACCAGGTGTGTGGGTGTGTGTTGGAATCTTAAATCCCTTCCCCCCTCATGCGTGTTTGCGTTTCCAAGGTTAACCGGCAGATCAAGATCGAGGAGATCGTGAACGCGGAGGTATCGGCCCTGTTGTCGATAGTGCTGCACATGGAAGATTACTTCAGGTATGCGTATTTTGGTTTCTCTCCAAAGGGCGGGGATACTAAAGTCTTGGTGATGGTAGCCTGCAACGAGACAAGAGAGGAGCGTAGCCGAGAGAGGGCGCACGGGATGAGAACGAGAGTGCGAGAGAGAGTTACTGCGCGATACAACCTGGGTGAACGCATGCGTTGAATGAGCGCCATGCCGGTCTAGCCTGGGACGCCATCCGTAGCTTACCGAAACAACTGCCTCTGCTGCTTCTGCTGCTGCTACAAATACGTGCGATTCGAGCACCGCATGGACCGACCAATCCGTTGACGATTCCGCTGCCCTGTAAGATCAAAAGGGGCCCTACGGCTTGCCGCCAGGCGACATGTACCCCGAACTGAGACGCCCGAACCCTCCTGTCTGGAAACCGATTAGGTATAGCCCGGTAGCTCTGGAGGCGGCTATGGAGGCGGCATGGAGACACACGGACACTCTCATATTCCAGAGCCGTTACCAGGAGATTTTGCTTCTTGTCCAAGACGACCCGCTAGAAGACCTCATGAGGGTGAGGGATGGGCGGCTATTAGGCGACATTTCGGTGTGGTGGAGCGCTCGGCCGAACCAAACCAGGCGGAAGGGGGTGAAGCTAGCGTTCATGGACAAAGGTTGCGCCCCGCTTCGTTGCAGGCGGTCGAAAGTTGCTACATTTTTTTTTCAACAGTGAAAAGCTGCGCAGGGTGGGGTCGACATCGAGGGTTGTGCCGGTTGTCTTCCTGCATTTGTTGATCTTTCGAGACGAGGGTTGGGGGGGGGTGTCTGGGGTCATGGAGGGAGGAGGTCGAATGAACGATCGACATTGGCAGCGGAAAACGCCCGTCGAGAACACACACCACGCCTTTCTTGCACGCCTTCGTTTGTGTCCTACACGCTGTTGTTGTTCGTGGTACCGTCTTGTCGAGGTTTGTCTGCGAGTGGCAACAAGAGCGTTGACCCAGAAGCATGCTCAAACAAGTGGCGGAAAGTAGGTTTTGATTCGGATGATGTTGTTTGCGCGTACCCTGCCTTTCCCACCCTTCCTCGTACATCTCTGGTGTTGGTGCGGAAAAGACCCGAATATGCGAGGGCCCGCGAGAGAGGACCATAAAAAAGTTTGGCGGGGTGCAAGTTGCACAGAAAAGAAAAGGCTTCCGTTTGATGCAGCGTGAGAGGCAGCAGACGGATGTGTGGGTGATTGAAGTTTTGCCACCCCGACAAAATTCCAGATTAACTATCGCGGTGCAAGGTTCCCCATACAAGGTTTGGTACAAGCATCGCGAGCTCTGTTTCAACGTTGGCATTGCTTCTGTCAGGAGAATGAACATTTCTCGTCCTCCTCCTCCTCCTCGGAGGGGGGCGACGCGTGATCAATGGTTGAATGGCAGTGTTGCAAGGCTTCGGTAAATGTGCCGCCAACCTCCCGCCCCCAACCCCCGCGCCTCTCTCCGCGTGCACCCTGCTGCTATTCCCACTCCGGCGGCGTGCGCTTTTCGTGCATGGTACAACATCTGGGGTCAATCAGCTGATCATCGCCGTGGATGACGAAGTACTGGCTTCGGATGCCCACCGCAATAAGTCCGGGGTACATCGAGACGTGAGCAAGGCACCTTGGCGCCTTGCAAGTAGTGGCCGGGGAATTAACCGAAGCTGCTTCTTCACGAGAGCTGTAGCCCGGAACGTCAGGGCAGGGAAAGCCGCTTTTGCATAAGAGTAGGACTTTTCTCGCACGATCACTTGCATGCATAGGGCTAAAGCGAAACGAAGGTTTTTCGCCGCTCTGTTCCTGGAATATGTCTGGCCATCCACGTTGCTGGTTGTGATGGGAATTAGTTGTCGGACATGACGCATGGTGCATGAAGGGTTGTCTCGTCTTGCTGCGCTTACTGTAAATGACACAAGATAACACACCCCCTGGACCGATTTTTCAAATATCGATTTCTCAACAACAGAAAGAGTCGCGGCGTCGAAAATGGCGGCGTTGGAACCGTCTCGTCGAGAGCTTTCAAAAAATGTGTCGCTTCGTTTATGCATTTTCTTCGTCGTGGAGTAATCGAGCGTTGAAAATTGGTCCACGGGGTGTGTTATCTTGAGTCATATACGGTAGGTCGAAAATGACGAGAACTTTTCACGGGAAAAGTACGATTGTACACGGTGGTTAGGGCACCTCTTGGCCGCATCTGCCGTCGCCGCACGTGTTCTGCGAAGGTGCTTGGATGGGGGCGGGTGTTGTCATTGCAGCTCGTTTCAAGCTTGTCAAAACAAGGGGAAAGGAACGTTACGAAAACGAAAAACGGGATCTAACGAGTGACAAAAAAAAAAATTGACGGTACGAAAAGTCCGAAATTTTGACATCCTTCTAAGTGGCTCACGGTGTCGTCCGATTTGTCGAGTCTTACGACACTTGTCCCTCCCTCCCTCTCGCCTCCTATTTTCCGTATTATTTGTATGGTACCACCACACCTTGCGTGGCCCCCTGATCGATCCCGAGCGGTCAGAGCTTGGGGTACCTGAGGGGAGTGTCTTCGGACCTACTCAAGCTTAGAACGACGCGGCTGTCGAGCGAGGGGAGGGTTCTTCCCCCCGTGCACTTCGGGATTCTCGTCATTCTCGCCAGGTGAGCCCTCTCTGCCTTTGCCGTGTTTCAGGTTTGATGCTTTCGTTGTTGCTGTTGTTGCTGTTGTTGTTGTTGTTGCTGTTGTGTTGTTGTTGGTGTTGGTGTTGGTGTTGGTGTTGGTGTTGGTGTTGTTGTTCGCGGTGGTGGTGGTGGTGGTGGTGCCCTCTGATGGAAGCGGCGTGCGTTCTTCCCTTATTTTCCTCTTTGCTGCTTTACCCTCAACCCTGAATGAATGTGAGTGTACTTTATTAGTTTTCATCGTTGTATTGAGAAGTGGAATGTTTCCTACCGCATTTTTTCTATGCCATGGGGACACTCTTCGGGTGCACCACACAGCTAACGACAACGCGCGCTGCCTCTCTTCAGAGTGTTTTGTGTGTATTTGGCTGATCATCCAACGGACAACGAAATTCCTCCGCTCTTCTTCCTACGATCACGCAGAATGATTCGAGCAACGTACGTACGTACGTACGCCTTAGTTCGCTGTCGTTCCTTTTGATTTGGCTGGTGCGTCCTATTTCGTCGCGATTCAGTCATTGTCTTGTGTATTTCACATGGCCGTTGAACGCCTGCAACCACCACGGCGGGTTTGTTGCTGTTCGGTCTACCCTGTCGGAGGGCGAAAATCATCGAAGTTGAGTCGTCCACCGTGGGTCAAGTGTAGACGAGGTGACTATGATTTGCGATGGGCACCACGGAACCCCGTTGCTAGTCCAACCCTTGCGTACTGTCGTCCTCACCTCCCCGCCCCCCGCCCCCCCCTCTCTCTTTCTTTTCCGCTCTGTTTTTTTCTCTCTTGTCTGTCTTTCTTTGTCTGTCTGTCTGTCTTTCTGTCTGTCTGTCTGTCTGTCTGTCTGTCTNTCTCTGTCTCTGTCTCTCTCTCTCGCTCTCTCTCTCTCGCTCGCTCTCTCTCTCTCGCTCTCCCTCTCTTGATGCACGTGGTCGCTGCTCTTCGCACACGGCGATTCGCCTGCCTTCACCAACTACGAACATTCAGCATGCTCTTGTTCGGCTTCACGCTGGCGTCGGCTCAACCGCCGACAGTGGACGGGCCTGTTGCAGCGGCCTTCGAGAGCAGAGTGCTCTTCACCCTGCTGGTCTTCAACTTCTCGCTGCTGTTGGAATTCGCTTTGGTGGGTGTGCACTGCAGAAGGGGAAGACGACTCCGTGTGTGAAGGATCTGTGTGCTTGAATTTTTTGCTGTTTCGTCGTGGGTGATGTTGCTTCTGCCGGTGTTGTGTGTTGTTGTTGTTGTTGTTGTTGTTGTTGTTGTTGTTGTGTTGGTATTGGTGGTGGTGGTGGTGGCTTGTTGGCGGTGGTACACGTATTTGCTTGGTATGGTGCGTTTCATTTCGTCAGGCTTCTTCTCACGGGTGACGACTTGAACGGCCCGTTGGCCGGAACGGCACCACATACGCCGCCACTGCCGCTACTACGATTCACTACTACTTGCAAGTGATGGAAATCTCCTCCACCGTGAAGCATCTGACGCCGTCAAGCACCTGACGTTTTCCTTGGCTTGGCGACGAGACCGCTTCGAGTGCTGTTGCTGATCTTGCTGCTGCTGCTGATCTTGCTGCTGCTGCCGCCGCCGCCGCCGCCGCTGCTGCGGCGAAAACCTTTGTCGCCGTTATCGGGGACTGGTGTTCAGGACTTGACGAACCCGTTCGTGGGGCGTTACAAGGTTCGGCGGACAACAACGACCGCCATAATGGTCAAGATCAGGAGCGAGATCGTTGCGGTGCGTGCCGGCGTGCGTGCATATCCGCCCGAAAGCTCCATGCCAGTCGTTGGCTTTGCTTTGATACCCAATCGGACGGCGGCAGAAGTTGGCGGGGCGGGACTCATCTTTGCGTTGCAGTAGTTGCAGAGCGAGCGGGTATGCGATGATAGCGTTTCTGGTTTTCTCCTCCCGTCGAGCGAGCTTGCGCCTGGAGTTCACCCTCCTCTTCGATAAAACAATATCTTGTCATTACCCCTCGCTCTTGAATTTCTCGCTGTCGTCGTCGTCTTTCAACCTTTGGTTGTTTAACCCTGGGAACGAACAAACGAACGAACAAACGACCCCAGGTGATGGGCCGGAAGCACATGAAGACCTTCGATGTGATGTTCAACATCCAAAAGAGACGTACCCTGAGAGACTTCAAGCGCGAGACCGGAATGACTCTTCCATCGGACAACCAGATACAGCCTCTACCGTAGCTCCGACGACACGTAGCTCACGGCCGACCACAACAACAGCGGACTGGGGCGAGGGCAAAGCAGCGGGTACGAGAGCGCTGGGTCTGCCTGTCACCGGACAGGACGCATTGTGTCGAGAGACCCGTCATTTGCGTAGGACTGCTGTTGGTGGGGTCGTTCGAAACGGGATTGACGGGTCGTGCTTGCTTCGTTGACGCCGCCATTTTTGGTGTTTCGGGTGTGTGGTGGTGCTGTTGATGGCGTTTTTTTTGTGTTTGGCGGTCGTTGTCTCGTGTCCCCCGGGTAGATGGCGCTGCTTGAAGTCTGGTTCAAAAATAGGGGTGTGCAGTTCTAGGTGCAGGCAAGCTGCACCTTCTTTCTGTAACCGACTGGTACTATTCTGTAGATTGTTGTTGAATGTTATTTTATACCACGTTACTGGTTAAGTGATTTATCCCCCGGTATTTCCGGCACTTGAGAGAGTGCCACGCACACGTTCCTCCTTCTTTTCTCGTGATCGAGGTTGAATCAAGCGCTCTGCCTTTAGGCCTGGTGTGTGCGTGCGGTAGATATAGACGGTTGGCTGCACATGGAGCTAGCTGACAGCTGCTACTACGAAGAGAACGTGCGCGGATTGTCCCGGAAGGGCTGCCACGTTGCTTGGTTAGGTGGGGCGAGGATGCAACGACACTTCACACGCATGCATGTCCAAGACAGCGCGAGTAGATTATTCCACTAACGATGCCGTCGTGTTTCAGCATCGCAGGCAGCATGTCTGGTGCTGTACCATTTTGGGCTAAGAATTCAAGATATTCGCGGAGAAAGCACCGACACGCTGTAGGATCCGCGTTTAGCGATGCCTTGGTGCCATCATGTACTTTTGATTTTTGATTTGAAGTTTGAAGAAAGTATCTAGAGGAGCAAATAGGAGTACAGAAAAAGGGTGACGGGAGGAGCAGAGCACACGTTGCGTGCTCTCGTTTTGCAACAATGTGGTGACGGAAAATCTTGTACCGTGGTTGCATGCACCATATTCGTCACTTGTCAATCGGGACTGAGTTTTTATGTAGCCGTCCAGGTGTGGAGCTCTGCGTCTTACGGTAGGTACCTCAAGTCTAGGAGTGCAAAATGAGATTTTTGCCGCGCAGGGGACGTGAGTGCAATCGGTGACTTGTGTTGTAACATGTTCTCGAAGACGACGATGACGTGTCTTCTGCGGTTTGCGTGTAGGTGTGCTGGTGATGCCCGTTGTGTTGGCAAGAACGAGAGGTTTTCGCTTGTTGTGATTGAGGCCCACGCCTTGTTTGCTGTTGCGGGGCAAAAGATTGTATTGAAGTCAAAGATTTTCGTCGGCGTTGCAAGACCCGACCTCCACGGAGGAAGTCTCAAGTTTTGAATCAGGAATGTATCGTTCGTTATTGAAATTGAAAATATATGTTTGTTGCACCTGGTCTTTCCCCTTGCCAGGAATCTTGCCCATTCCTCGCTTCATTTGTAGTGCTTGGTAGAGGCGGATGCTGCGCGGAGATTTGCGTGGAAATTGGCATGCGTACTCGGTGATTTTCCATCCCGGCGCGTTCTCCACGGGCTAGGCACCACAACCAAACCAGGGTCATCATCTACCGGCAACAGCTGAGATTGAAGATTTACGCCCCAGACTGGCCTTCCATCTCCGAACGAGTGCAACGCCGCTCCAAAGCGCTGACAACAGGCTAATTGTCGCTGCAAACTACTCCATAGATTAGGTTGACATCGGGAAGCTTTTGCTTGGTGTTTTATTTTTATACAAATACTCTTGCGTGCATACTCCATTTCATTCTCGACCCGAAAACCCTTCATTCTGTAAAAACCTCCGCGCCAGGCAAGCATACGCGTGCTTTAGGCTCCGTCGGCAGACAGGACACAGGAACTCTCAACACACGCTGCTTGTCCCTAGACTACCTCTCGAGACTCCTTGAAACGGAACGTTCAAGTCTAATCGAGCAGCGGCGGGCACGATAGCGTTCTCTCCTGCAACAAATAGCCTGAGAAGTCCCACAACCGTCCACTCACGCAACCAACTTCGAAAGGAGTGACATCTCGGCATAACCTCCTCCAGCCCGGGTGGATTTTCATCATTTTCGCCGTGCTCACACACGGAGGCGTGTCACTCTTGAAGACAATGAACATTACCGTGGCCGAAGAACATCTAAATAATACTTGGTACGTGTACTGACATCTAACCGATCTTTTTCGCACAAAAACAACACGTGCCGTTATCTGTCCCACTCGTCATCGCTGCCGCTGCTGCGGTCGGGCTGCGTTGCGTCATCGAAGTACGTCAAGTCGTCCACGTGCTCGTCCACCGCCCCTTCCTCCGCGCTATCCTCTTCCTCGTCGTCTGTTTCGTCTTCCTCCTCGTCGCTACTGCTGCTGCTGTCGTCGTTGTATTCCTCGCTGCTGCTGGTGTCTTCTCCTTCAGACTCACTCTCGCCCCCCCCCGCCTCCCTATTGGCTGGTCCAGCCTCGTCGACGCCTCCCTTCTCCCCAACGCTCCCCGTGCCGCACGTGCGTTCAACCCCGGGGGGCACCGCTGACTGCTTCCGATCCGCCCCCCTCCTCGCCCCGCCGCCTTTTACGGCAGCGCTTTTCACGGTGTCATCCCCCCCCTTTGATGCCACGTCCGATGGGTTACTGCTACTGCCGCCGCCGTCGGATACGCTAGGCGAGCCTCGGGAGGATGCAGTTTTGCTCGCCCTGTAGGCCTTCGCCCTCGAGGCTGCCGTCTTGCTGCTAGTGGCGGGAGCGGTCGTGGCCTTTCGCGGTCTAGCAGCAGCACTAGCGGCCGCAACTGCTGTCCCTACGGCGATACTCTCTTCGGAGCTTTCGCTGCCTGCGTCTTCGTTGTCGCTGGTACCGCTGCTACCGTCCTCGTCCTCGTCCTTCTCCGTTTCTTCGACCGCGTTGTTGCTGTCCGTTGATGTCTGAGTAGAGGGACTGGAAGATGCGAAGAAGCGAGATGGCGGGGGGGAGGGGGGGGCGTGCTCGTATTTGCAAGTCTCAGCGGTTAGACCATCACCACGCGTTGTAAAAAGGAGCACGTTCATCGGGCTTTCGCCCACCCACCAGAAAATGACGCAAAGAAAGCGCGAACCGCCGTAAGGCTTGCGGCGAGTCGCATGGCAGGTGACACGAGTGCCCACACAACCGTGCGAGAGGTGTGCTTCCGCCGGCACATTCGCACCGACTCTATCTTGTATACCACGGCCGATAGCTTCGAACGCCGTGTTGTTGGTTCCGGGGTGTGCTTGTCTACAACGCTTGAGGAATTATACGGGGACCGGGCGGCGTTGGGCGTACACCAGCAATGACCAACGACAAACAAACTGCCAAACAACCGGCTATTCTGAACCCCGGCCACAACCGACGATGGGAGTGGAACAGGCATTGGGTTGAATTGTGGTGGTTCCCCAGACCCAAATACAAACGCCAGAGATTGGTATTTATTACCTGATACATGCACTATCATTACACCCTGTCTGGCCGGACTTACGTGTCGAAGCCGTGTGCGGCAGGGAGACTCAGGTCCGGAACATGAAGGCCGTAGATGCCCAACAGCTCTTCCGCGTCCAGAAGGAATGTCAACACGTCGTCGTATCTGGATCGACGTTTGGTGAAAAAAATTCGATAAGGTTCGGTCGGAGGGCGATAGGATAGCAGCGTCCGGGTAGTCGGGGGCGTACAGTGGCACATACGTCACCGCTCGCTCGTACCTAGCGCCTCGAAAAAAAAAACATGACTAAACGCCTTTCCCCCCCCACTCCCTGACAAAATGCCTTCGTTCCCCCACTCTCGGTGTAGACGACAAGGCAATGCCGATCGATTGGCAAAATGCGAAAAAATACATTTATTAGTACACTCCCTGCGTGCTCCCATATCTTTTTCTTTTTTGCTCTGATGTTTTGTCGTCGGTCGCACTGCCTGACTATCCTTCGGCCTTGACAAGAAAAATCTAGACGCACCTGGTCATGTAGAAACTTTTGAAGTCATTGAGGCACTCCGCCACCATGGCCAAGTCTGCGCCGTCGAACAAGTCGCCGTCTTCGGCCTCTTCCAGCACCCAGTCCAGAGCAGAGTGAAACCGTCGCCATAGCTGTGTTTTTTGTTTTTGTTGCACCCATCACCAGCAAACACATACACATTACGAGTCAGCCGGTTAGAGCGGTCGATACTAACAACATAAACGCACACACACACGAGCTCCCGAAAACGAAAAAAAGACGAGAAACGAGGCGACAGAGAGTAGAGGACTGGGGGAGTTGAAATCCAAGCGGGAGATGCACGGCTTGGCGGGTACGGTTCGCGACTGCGAGCTGTTTTCCCGACAGTCGGGAGAGGGAAGGATTCATCAGAAAGACTGGCGCTGGGATCGATGGGTGCACGCAAAGCTTTCAGATCTCGCGACCGGTCGGGGGGAATGGCGCGACAAAAAGTCGGGGGAACGCTCGTGCTTCCCGGTTTGAGACTGCATGCAGTCAAGGCCAAGCTCTGCATCATGTAGCTCCCAGTAGGTGCTCCACGTGTCGACGTCGATGGCTAAAAGAGCAGTGAATCAACAACAACCAAAAAGTGTGCATATCAAACAAGTGCCTACACCGTTATCTTCCAAGCACGTTTCACATACAGAAATTACCAAGCGCTGCGCAACCCTCGATACAACCATTATTTCCGCGCTTCCCGACACGCCCGACCGCGCTATGCATACACCTGACCTCGTGCAAGTCGAGGGCCGTGTTCCTTAGGCACAGCACCGTCAACTCTGTCTCCTCTTCCGGCTGCGGCTGGCACGAAACGCCGAGGTCGATCGCCTTCTGTGCCTTCGCTAGGGTAGTGACGACGTTCTCCCATCCCTCCTCGTGCTGCATCGTATCAAGCTCCTGCGCGGTCAGCGCGGGGGGTAAAGAAAAGGGGGCACGTTGTCACACCAGAACAAGGGGGGGGGGTCCTCGCTTGCTTGCATGAGATGCGTAGAAAACCGGTACATACAAGACCTCCCAGGTTTTGGCGCACGTCACGTCGTGGTCCTACCTTTCATCGAAATGTGCGCGATTTAGCTGATTTTGTTCGCTGTACAGTCGACCCCGCTTTAAGGACGCTCGCGTTAAGGCAACTCCCAGCTTTGAAGAAACTTGTTTGCTCAGCACCAGGGGGCCCGGCCGAATAAACGATAATGGGGTACCCCCATTTTTTCTGCCGCGTACCCCCCTTATTGTGTCCTGCGGGCCTGCGGGCCGCTCTTTGCACGAACCACTCATTACAGTGAGTGCAGAAGTAGCGACGCACAGACAGCAGAAGTAGCGAGCGGTCTGCTGCTGCAGCTTTAACTGGGTGTTTTTTTTTTTTTTTGGTCTTCACTCAAATCAGCGCTCACAGCACTGGTGCCGTTTACTCCAACCCGTGGTCACACAGAAGGGCCCCTCTCTACCCTCCCCTCCTGCGGTACTTTGCCTTAGATTTTTAATGCGAGAAGAGTTCAGCACTCTCTTCCCTCTGTGTACACACGAACTAGCGCTATCCACTGGGCCAGGAGCGCAAGCGAGAGAAAAACTCAATTTGCAAGAAGAACTCGCTTACGCCGGGATCCGAACCCCTGACCTGACCTCTAGAAGGTTTCGAGGATACCAACCAACTAGACCACCGGGGCGACCGGCAGGTGTTGGTATGGATAGATTCCTCCCATCTACCGGCGGTCCATCTGATGCCGCCAAAAAAAAGTCGTGCGTAACCTCGTCCCTCACCGAGGGTGAGGTCACCGAGGGTGAGGTTATCTCTCGCTTGTAGGGTGTTCGATCCCACAGATAGCGCCCGCAGTTAAGAAATCGGATCGAGCCTCAATCCCTTCTTTTGGGTCGAAGTACCGGCCCAAGTCGTCCATTTTCGTACATGCCATTTTTCGTCCTTTGGACTGTCGCATCCTCCCGATTCTCCTATTCCTTAGACTACAACAAGTACTTCGTATTTTCTTTGTTCTGTTTTGTGATCTCTGAGGACAATCCACATCATCAAGCCCTCAAGAGAGGTGGTGGAGAGTGCCATCAAACCCGTACAACAGCGGAGAGCATATGTTTGTCCGCGATATGTGGCAGTACTACAGTACAGCACTCACTGTGAACAGCAGGGGGGCGGGGGGGGCGGGGGGGACTCTGCCCCTTGCAAAAAATAATGCACCTCTGTTCAGCTTCGGAGGGGGTTGGAAGCACCGCAGATTTCTGATGTCATGGGGGTATCGCACCATCATGTTTGTTTTTGGGGCGTTTCTTACGTTGTGGCCGAGATTGAGCTGTGTTTCTTAGCTCTTTCATCTTAATTTTCGTACAAACTTGAGCCTTTTTTCTTAACAGAATTTTCTTAACTGCGGGCGCTACCTGTGTTTGTACGCGAAGGGAAAGGGTGGCGAGTACCGCGAGACGCAGTACCTTCTTTCGAAGACCGTTCACTCGTTTACTCATGAAACTCAACAGAGCCGTAGAGCCAAGCCGCGGGGTGAGGTTCAGGGAACTCTTCGCGATATATGTATAGGAAGGAAAAGCCATCCAGGTAGCTTTTGGTCTCCGCCGGGACAGTGTTATGTACTGGTGTTTCTCGGTGCGACGCTGAAATACGCTTGTTTTTTTTTGTTTCACAAGGAGATGAATATATGTCTACTTGGACTTTCCTCCTCCTTCCGCTGCCGGCTATGCAGTACATTAGTTGGTCAAGTACAAACTAGTGTACTGTAGTTGTTTTCAACACGTCCCCGACTGCTGTAAATCTTATTTTAAGTGTTGTAATATGTTCGACGTCAACAAACGGTTGCCAGTCGTCTCGGCGATGCTGACTTTTCGTACCACCCCCTTCCCTAGCACAAGATGCGTAGTTTGAGGTATAGCATGCCTCCATTGACCCCGGAAATGGTGAGCTATCGTCCCCTGAATTTTAAGGACGCAACCCCGCTTTAAGNTGTTTTCAACACGTCCCCGACTGCTGTAAATCTTATTTTAAGTGTTGTAATATGTTCGACGTCAACAAACGGTTGCCAGTCGTCTCGGCGATGCTGACTTTTCGTACCACCCCCTTCCCTAGCACAAGATGCGTAGTTTGAGGTATAGCATGCCTCCATTGACCCCGGAAATGGTGAGCTATCGTCCCCTGAATTTTAAGGACGCAACCCCGCTTTAAGGACGCTTTTTTTCGGGAAAAACCATGTGTGTCCTTAAAGCGGGGTCGACTGTACTAACGGGTTCGATGCCGTCCAACGCATGGCATTTTGCGGCGGAATATTCCTTGCGAAGCTGATACAACAAAGATAATATGCTTGCGAGATTGGACAGTGGGAGAACAGTTGTTGGCCCATCGACGGGCAGCCCCTACTCCCTATCACATCATTCGCGCAGCGGGAAACCCCGAAGGCTTCATACCATTCATCAAGTGACGATTGTACACAAGAGTATCAACATAAGCCACGAACAGGTATCCCTCCTACTTGGCCACTCACATCCGGACACGCCGGCGCCACATCCAACGACGGCGTTGACAGTATTATCGTACGCGCGTACGGTACCGTTTGGGGTGAACGACGTATCGGAAAAAATATGGAAAAAAACAACGATACCGCTGCTTTGAGACAACGATAGCAGCAGCAACAACAAGATGCTACTACAAAAGCACACCTGGAACCTAGCGTTGAAGCCCTCCGCGCGCTTGAAGACGTACGTGCCGTAACGGTCGACGAACGAGCGGAATGCCTCTCCTTCCTCGCTAACGCGGCACAGCACGTCCAGGTCGAAGTAGCGGCACGCGGTCTTCTTGTCCCACTCCCGACTCATCTGGAAAAACCCGTCATAGGCCAGGAACAAAACGGCGAGAGAGCCGGCCGGCCGGTAAGCCGTCAATGGAGCGCGCGGGTTGGGGAAAATAGTAGTACAGGCGGCTCGATCGAGGTTGTGGGTGGGCAACGTTCTGCGAAGACTTGCGGAAAGAAGCAGCAAATGACGAAATTAGGCGACACTGGTTGGCTCGCATGAAGCAGCAGAAACATCCGCACGTATCTACCCAATGCCCGAAGTGTAGAAACATACCCATCAAGGAGCCCTACCTGTGTGACCACTCGCTGTAGCTTGTGTTGCTACATTCCCGATCAAAAACTTAACACCCACGACTGGCTTCTCCGCATGTAGATTCTGCAAAATACCTTTCCGAGGAAAATCTTGAGGACCGCGTGGTGCTCCACGGGCAGGTCTCTCAGGATGCTGTGGAAAAGGTAGACCGCTTTGGAAACGGTCCGCCAGTCGGGCTCGCTCATCTTGGCCCACAGCTTCCGCAGTAAAACCCTGCAGAAATAACGACAACGGTCGTGTTCGTGGTTGCTCTGGCTGCCTTGACGTTATGTGCCTTCCGACCAGAACTAGACGCGATCGCTCTATACAGCGCTCAGCTCTCGCTTGAACCATGGTACCCAGGCATGATCTGCCAAGCACACACAACATGAGCATAAAAACACACCTGTGCTCCGCACTCTTCTTGGTGACGTCATGATCCTTCTTGAAGGTTTTGACAGCATCCACCATGGATAGCACCTGCAAGGTACAACATGGTCAAATTGACACAGTCAGCATGGAATGGTTGGGTGCATTGATGCACAAACAACATCGATGGGATATAAATTCAGTTCAACGCTGACCCTGGTCTACACGTAGAAGGCACACCGGGTTTCGATGTGCTGCACAGCACACAACAGAAGAATCCTTGTGGCACCTGCGCACGGGCCTTCGGGCTTAAGGCACACATCAAGAAACAGCGCGCGGATCCCCAACAAGCCGAGAGACAAGGGGGCTTTAGCCTACAGGGATCCTGCAAAAGAAAAGGGGCTACGTTGACTTTGGAACCCTTCGCTCGTATTTTCCATAGCCAAAAAAGGAAAGCATGGATTTTGACAGGACACCGGTTCTTTGGAGTTTTCCTTCAACGGGTACCAGCACTTCTCCCTCTATCTCAATTTCATCCCTCGCACTCTCCCTTCTTCTGTTTCTCTAAGACCTCTACCATTGCAATGTATCCTGCTTCCTCCCTCTATCTATCCGCACACGCATTTCTGTTTGTCATCTCTCACCAGGGTCTCATCCGGAGGGAGGTCATCTGGCCAGGTCACCTTGAGAAGGGCGCTCTCCCAGCTCCCACTCACGACTAGTTTCACCTGTACCACATGCATAGTACAAGTACAAACGCATCGGAAGCAGCTTGCTTGATACAACATGCAGATACTAAGCCACCTGCACAATTCCAAGTAATGATGCGACGATCGAACGAACAACGTAGCACACCAGACAACATGAAGACCTTTTCGTTTTCGTAGCGCAGTGCAACGCTACTCGACAGCACGCAGTCACGTGTGTCGACCTCGAATCACCGACAAAAAGAAGTGGACCTACATCAAGCACGATCCGATAAACCGCGTACTCCATGAGCCTTGTCCAAGGAAAAGGTTGAAGAGAGTTTCTTTCGTGTACACCATGAGCAAGGACAACGTATGTTGCGATCACCACTTGTGCCACGCACGACGTGTCGTATACGCGCCGCTTGCTCTTGCCTTGCCCTCACGACACTGACAACGGGGGGCGGGCCGCCCGTCAATCTTGACCTCCACCCCGATTCCCGCAAGGAAAATACTACCACATGCCAGCAGAGCAGGAGCACACTCGGTAAGCACCTCCCCCCTCCTATGCATACCCCAAACCTCGGCCTTCTCACACTCACCTCGCGCTTGAGCTTCTGGGAAGTGGAGGCGGCGAGACTCCCGGCTTGTCCCACTGCCTCCACTGCCGTGCCCATCTTCTGCCGCAGGGCCGAGGCAATGGCGGCGCCGCTCACCGCCGGCATCCTCACCGCGAAGCCCCTTGTCGTAGGCGCCGCCGCCCGCCTCCCTCGCTGGTATCGCGACGAGCCCCTGGCTCCGCTCCGCCGCCCGCCGCTGCTGCCGGCGCCGTCGCCGGTCCATGCCGATGGGCGCGGCTGACGTCTCGACGGCGCGCGGCTGTTTCTGCGCTTTGGGGATGCCAGAACACCGTCGTCATCGTAGCTGTCCTCCCAGGGGTCTTCGTTGGCGCCTTCTCTGCTCCAGAAGCCACCATCCTCTTGTTCTCCTTGGGAGTAGTCGTCGTACGACCCGGTATCGTAGACCAGGTCGTCAGAGGACGGCTGGCGCGTCCTCCTGCCGGCGTCGGTACCCACCGCCGGATAGCCGAGCTCGCCTTCGTCGAAGAAATCGTCGTCTTCGTAGTAAGAATCCCATTCGTCGTTGTCACCGCCCTCCTCGCTACTCCCGCCGCCGCTGGACCAGTCCCCGAAGTCGGACGAAGCTCTGCAGATATGCACAGCGGTGTATGAATGGTATCATGCGCATCACGTGTGTGCCGGCTTCAGAGGTGTGGTGGTGGGGAATGTTCGACACAGGATTGCTGCTGCTTACAATCTTGACGCGGCGCAGCCGTCCTGCTTATGGGTCAGTGTTCGGGATGTGCATCACGGCACATCTGATACACCACCCTCCCTCGCTCGGTACTGCTGTCCGTGCCCGCTCCTCTGCTCTGTGCCGCTACAGGTGGATTCGCAGTGTGCTGCGCGAGGGGTGAGAGGATACGCGTCCAGCGATGCTGAAGGAAGCAAACATAAACATAATACCCGACTGCATGCCAATCGCTGGTGGGAAGCCTACTTCCAGTGCACACCGGCCTGCATGTCGCACCTTCTGCGGGCAGCAGGAGCTGGACGGTTCCCTGCAGCCGTTGCCCTGCTTGGCCTGGTGCTACTTCGTGAAGCCGCCGCCTTTCTCGCTGCTGCGCAATCAAGAAGGGACAGTGCCGCCACCAGCAGCAGGATCTTCCATGGGAAGATCAGGGGTCGCATTGTGCAACAGCAGACGTGGATATCACAAGCAGCGCAGCGACTGCTGTGCTGTGTCTGTCTCACCGTGCGTCGGACTTGGGACCCGCGCGTGAAGCCTCCCGTTGTCGACACACACGGTATCCACAGAGTATACACATACCGCGTACCCCCCCCCCACCGTGAGGAAAGCTATTAGTTGCACCGCTTGTTGTGCTACACCGATGTATTCAGGAGCTGTGCTTGGCTGTACCAGTACCAAAGCATCGCAGCTTCAGAGACCAATGGCTTCAAGATCGCGCAAGTGCTCATTCAGCGACAGCAGCGACGCAGCTGAGCCGCGACACCGCCATGGGATGATGATGTCCGAAAGCAACACCGCTACGAGCTGCCGCCGCTGCCTCTTCGATAACGTTGCGCCGCCGGTCCTCCTATCCGCAGCTACCTGGCTCCCCATCCGCGATCTTCTCGCCCTTGGCACGGTAAACCGTAGCTTTCGAGACCTCACCAAGGATGATATGCTGTGGAAGTCGGCTGCGGTGTTCTTGTTCAGGTCGGCTCTGGTGGACGGGCAGAATTCGCTAGTTGAAGGTGTCTCCGTTGGTCTCCACAAGGACGCCCCCGGTACGTGAGTTTTTTTAGTGCCGGCGCGTGAAAGGAAACCTGCAGAGAACGTCAGTTTGGCGCATGAAGCGTGCCAGCGCCGATAGCTTTCGGGAGCGTTGAGTTCTAGCAAGCACAACTGTAGCAGCTTGTTTAGTCACTGTTGGACTGCTGTGGATCCGAACGACAACACAATGTTGCCATCCTTCATTCCTTCAAGTTTCGCGTTCTACGCAACATGTGCAACCCCGGCCCACCCCGCCGTCGCCCCGGTTTCCTCGTTGCAGGCAACCTCACGCTGCAAGATATCTGCCGCTGCATGGTTGGGGCGTGGCCGACACACATCGACCGGCATTGGCGAGCAGACGAGCTCCTGCAAGCTTCGATAGGTGGCGTTCTGCAGCCCCTCCAGGCCGGTGCGGCAGGCGGCGGCGTCAGCGGCAGCGGCGCCGACCCAGAAAACGCTCAACAGGCAGATACAGCCCTGGCAGCAGGGCTCTGCGACGGCGTCGTGTTCAGGGGGGGGCTCGGAGGCGATCGAGCGGTAAGGGCGAACGTGCCGTTCCCTTGGGCCGGGTGCGGACGCACGCGGACCCAACCTCCTTGTGGGGCAGACATGTCTCGCGGAGCCAGGCTAGTCAGGATGGAGCTGACTACGTACGACAGACCCGTGTACCTTCACTACCCGGACGTAGTTCTAGCGCGCGTTAAAGCCGGCGCACCATTTGCGCTGCTTTGGCCTGGGCATGCTGCTGCTGCTGGTGGAGGTGAGGGCGAAGGCGGCAGCGGCGAAGACAGCCGCGGTGGCAATGTCGGGCACGGTGGACTGGTCGACGAGAACGAGAGAGTAAGGCTGAAGGTCGAGAGGCTGCCGAGCTCAGGCCCCGCGCCTTTCTTCCACGCTGGATACACGGCTTATTTCGAGATAACGCTCGGAGACACAATGGCGCCGCTGGAGCAACCCCGGGATGAGGATTTCCATTTAGAGCAATGTGTGGCGATCGGCCTTGCGCATGACAACTTCCCCCTAGAGTGAGTGAGTCGGTGAGGGGCGGGGTTATTTGTTGTGTCAAATCTTTGCGTCGTCGCTGGACGTTCATTGCAGTTTTCCTTTCCTCCTGCTCTCGTGGCCGTGCTTGTACGAGTTCGGTTGGCGGATGCATTTTATCTCAAGAGCGGGGAGGCAGCGGCTGTCTTGGGAAGCGCGACAGAATCGCTGCAAGACCAAAGACGATGTTCACATATTACGCAGGAGCGTTCACCGCGCGCTTGCTCGTGTCCTTCGTCTTGCTCCGCTCTGATGCTGGACGAACCAGAGACAAACAGCCCGGCTGGGACCGAAACAGCTGGGGGCTTCACTCGGACGATGGCTGCTTTCACCATCGCGGTGCTATCGCGCTTCCTGCCACGGCAGATCCGACAACCTTCGGCCCCGGGGACACGGTAGGCTGTGGCCTGCTCTACCCGCGGGTAAGACGATGTACCACAGCCAGAGCGCCAACAAGCCCATACAGCCGAAACTCCGCGCTTCTCCTTCTAGACCGTCGATTTTCCGTTGTCTCCCATGTTCTCCACGCGATCCCTCTCCCTTGTTACACAAGAATTCGCTTGTGCTGGAGAGCGCCCGGGTCTGACATTTTCGTGTTCCTCTGCCCAGGGGCTAGCGCACTACGAGCATTGGCTGTCGGGCCGCGGCGGCGCGTTGCCGACAGCCGGCGAAAACGACAGCGGCGGCAACAACGGGGCGGTCTTCTTCACCAAGAATGGCCGCTACCTTGGAATGGCCTCCCGTCGGGTGAACGTCAAGGTATAACCGTAACCAATAACTTACACCCACTAGGTACTCTTATGCTCAATTCCTAACCTTGTCAGGCGCACCATCAATCGTCGTGTGGCGCAGCGTTCGGCTCTGGGTGTATGTAGCACGATTAGATGGGCTGACCTCCTCTTCGCATCGCTGACTCCGCTCCTGTCTCCGCCATTGCTGCCTTTGCCCGCTCCCACTCCCAACGAACCGACGAAGAGACCGCTCTATCCGTGTGTCGGGCTCGACAGCCACTGCTGCGTGACTGTCAACTTCGGCGTCAAGCCTTTCGCCTTCGACGTACCCGCGTTTGAGGCGCTCTTTACTGGCGCAGCGCTAGGCTCTGCTCCCCCTGTGCGGGAGCGCAGATGTCATGTGAGAGTCGTTATTGTTGCCCCCACCGCACGAAGTTGAAGACGTTTTCGTCCCTGTTCTTCTGAAATGCCAGGAGTTAGATTTGATGGGTCAAAGGTTAAGGTTCTCCACCCTACACCTCGTCAATATTTGCGCTGTTGGGCTCAGACGGCGGTTGCTGATGCGACGCACCCCTGGCTCCCCCCCGTTCCCCATGTCAACTAACTTTTGGTAGGCGACTTCCCTTTGCGAACATCTACAGCTCTGTGCGGTTGCCTTTTCCCTCATTCTTGTGGATGGTTTGTCTGAGGCGTTTTCTGTATGCGGTTGAAGAATACTTCGAAGTATTGTTTTGCTCCGGAAAGCTACGGGGTGAAGAACTATTTAACTGTTGGGTGCGCTTGTACGAACTGATTCACCTCGCAGGTGCAACGGTTGAGAAGAATAATCGTTTTTGTTCGATGCACATGGGTCTGGTAGCCTGTTCATGTTGTTGCTTCGTCTTTTTCCCGTCGAAGCTGGCGTATTCAAGATTTTTTTGCGACAGTAGCGTTGCGACTGACACTCTCATGTGTCTCCGAAGCCTGGACCATTCGGCATCGGAGTGAGTGCTGGCCTGATCGCGGTTCCCTTGTCCGTGAAAAACTGTGATCACGCCCCGGCTTGCGTGCCCCCCATCGCCCACCCCCGCGTGCTCGACAGACGGATGACATAAAGAACGTGTACTGTGGCAGGAACGGCTTCACCAACCCCCGCCTTCTCTGCCCGCACCTGCGGCTGCAGCCCCCTGTGGATGAGGAGGGACAGGATGATGCTCGAGTCCCGAAGACCACGAGGGGGAGTGTTCCCAAGGGAGTCGGGGTCCTGGCGTCGGAAAGCGAACTTCTGCGGCGATCCCTGAAGTCTATAAGATGTGAGGAAACATGGCGCAATATCTCGAGCTGTTTTTTTTGTCGGGAGAACCGACTCGGTGCGATCGACGAGTAAATTTCCCCACCTTAACCAACATTCCACCATTGAACGCAGTTCTGTTTTTTGAGATGTGTTGTACCTGCACGTCCTTCACAAAGTGCCGACGGACGTGTGTTGCGACCATTCGATGCGAAAGCAGTCAAAGTGTGTCCCATTCCGACCGGCGCTGCCGTACGTACCACCATGGTGGCGGGCGTCGTGCACTTCTGAACTCGCCCCACTGGCGGGGCTTGATGGCACCATGGTGTGCCAGTGCCAAGGGCTAAGCAACTCGATCGCCCCCTTGTTGCTCGTGTGTTCGTCGTCTCGTCACTCCTCCCTACTCAACCGCATCGTTGCCTGGCAGCCTCTTCACCCCACGTCAATTTGCTTGCGGCTGAAAGCGACAACAGCGGTAACAGCAGCGACGACTCCTGGCTTATGTCGGAAGAGGAGTATTCAAACATCCATGAGTGGGAAGAGGAGGAGGAGGAGGAGGAGGAGG